TGTCAATGAAACTGTCTGTAGTTGTCATGCAGTCTGGCAATGCCATTTGAGGGAGTTTGTGTCCCAAGTTGCTTTGTGTTTGTTCTGTTGTGCTGACAAACCATTCAGCAAACAAATTGGTGAACCAAGATGGCTGAAAAAAATAACTCTTAAGGGAGTTTTTTGTAACAGGTGTTGTTTCAGGGCAGTTGTTACAACTGAAGGAGTACTGGAGCTTGAATGACCTTACCCTGACAGTGCTACTGATGAAAAAGACACGTGGAAACAAGAGGGAGAGTGCTCAGTCCTTTTAATCCTCCAGCCTCTTCACATCTCTTTCCTTAACTTTTCAGTATCTTCCTTCTGTAGGATTGCTGTGGACATACAGGAGTCAGAGGCACCAAATGAACACTGAAGTTTTCTAATCTCTAATAAAGAGATTAGAGAGAGTTACAAACAAGTCAAAACTAACAGAAATCTAATATTGATAAATACAGCACTATGCATAGTAAGCTGTCATAGTTCAAAAATCAGACTGATTTAGGTAGCTTACTTTCAGAAGGGGTTTGCTATTCCTATTGACAAAGAATGACAGCTATCTTCTGCTGCAGCACACTGTAAACTAATTCATTAAGTAGATGAATAGAAAGTCTTCTGCCTGTCTTGCTCAAGAATGTCTATAGTTATGATTGAGACCCCCAGGTGAAAAATCAATGAACATTTTCAGTACTTCATGAGATAAACTTCTCAAGAAATGGTGAAAGTGCACTTCTATTTTGAAGCATATTTCAACATGCAGACACATTTTACTGACTTCCCCCACTAACTTCTGAAAGATTGTATGGGTGCATAAGTACTTTGTTTGCGTTTTAAGTGCTTCAGTAAGAATACAGCCACAACATACTCAGTATTGAGTAAAGGACGTAAAGCCAAGATAGGCTGGACGTGCTATATGACATGCAGTGTAGCTTAGTTATGTAAGTTAAATGAGATAAAGTAGACTTTTATATCCGATAAGTTTTTCTGAAAAGCAAGACAGCTGTTGGATATTTTGCAATGAGAAGTTCTTGGAGAGAAGTCTTTAAGGTGGTGGGAAAATTACTTAAAGGTTACTAATTTTGTTGGTAACTACAAATGGTATGTTACAAAGGTGCTATGGAGCTAACTGTAGGGAAGACTGGAAAAAGAGTTGCTGGAAAATGTGGAACTTTTAAATTAACTTCTTGCTTGCTAATTTTGAAATTATCCTCAGTCTGTTGCAAGTTAAGTGAAAATGCAGAAATTTTATTTTAATGGTTGGTGTGACTTTTTGGTACTCACTACAGCAGAGAGTGCTGTGCAAGACAGATGAGAAAGTTATTAACATTTCAGGCATGTAGTTTTTATGCTGGTCTGCACTGAATTTCTTGTGATTTCTTGTGCAGTGTTTCCGAACTTCAGAGACACCTACTTTAAGTAACTTATGGCTTGTTAATTAAAGTCAACTTGTTAAAACAGTAGTTTTTCCCACTTAATCTCCATCAAAAACATCCAGGGAACACTTCCCTGAAGAAGAACTTCTTATCCATGTGGAAAGCAACTGTTAAGCTAGCTCCAAGTGTCAGCCTATTGTGATAACTAACCCTATTTTCACTCTATGTGTTAGATAAACCATAAACTGCCACAGCAGGAGCTACTTCATGAGCTGTTTAGTCATCACTTCAGTAGTGCTATCTCCCACAAAGAGAGCAATGTGGACAATGGAGAAGTGTCTGTTTTATTGGCTTGGACCTTTACTGTGTGTCAAGGTCCTTCACTGTCTAAAGTAGCTATTGTGAATTTAGGCTGTTGTATAAGTCAATGTGTGGACTCATTTAAGTGCTTTGTGCCAGAAAGTGATGCACAACACATATTTATTATAATTTGAATGGAGTTATGGGGCAAACTTCTGTACTAGGAAGAATGTCATATGCTTCTTTTAATATAAAACTAATAAAAGTAGTTGTTGATTTTTAAATAGACATCTGTACTAGATTTTACATAAATTGTTTGGGTATTTTTACTTATTCTGTACAAGATCTTTCACACCTTTTTTCAAGTACTGGAAAAGAAGAGGCAAAACTCCTGCCTTTTAGCTGCTTTCTCTAGCCTCAAAATAAAAAGCTGGAAAGAAATATTTGAGCCTATAAAAGAGAGTAGTCTTGTCAAAATACTTATTAAACTGTTTTGAGTTGTACTAGTGAATTTGCTTTACGTGCTTCGAACTATACATGGCAACTTATTGACCTGTTTAATGTGCTAAATCAAGTTCATAGATGTAATTTGAAGTATCTAAATACTTTAATACTTGTAATGACGAGTCCTTTTCAAGGAAAGAATTATTGGCTTAGACTGGTTTATAGTTTCACAACTACTTCTAGTCTGTTTTGATGAAGCCTTGCCTAGCCTTTAAACATTGCTTGCTTTCTGCGAAGTTGGACGTGTGTGTAGTCAGAAAGGCTTGAGGAACTGATGAAGGTAAACTTTTTTTTTTTTCCCCCCCTTCTCTTGACTGGCTGATTTCAGAGGCATTTGTTTCTGAGCCTGTTTGGTACTTGGGTGTATAAATGCTTGTACAGATACAAAGGAGAGAGTAGAATGTGGTTGCAACGAGTGTTAAGGGATGGGGTCCTGCTTCAGAGGCCCTTGCAAAAACTTAAGCTACTGTACAAGATAGGGGGCAAAATCTTGCAGTAATGTAGAAAAGATGGTAAGTTTAAATGATGAAATGTTCTAAGAGTATAAGGTTATTCAGAACAATGTGGAAAGTATAGAAGAACTTCAAGCTATGAAGTGGCAAACGAAATCTGGTGCCAACAGAAGTAATACACAGTGGGAGGAGAAACAGTAGTCTGGGAGCAGTTAGAATGAGAATCTGCAGTTTCTAATAATTTTTTTTAAATGTTTGATAGCAGTGGGGAGAGGTGGGGAAAGGATACAAATGTTATTAGTTAAAAAAGAGCAAAGAATAAAAAATGGTCTGGGCTGCCATGCTGTTACCTTATTACTGTAAACTTCCAATGCTGCATGCATCCTGTCCCATTTATCAGAGGTAAGATTAGAACTGGGGAAAAGCAGCTGTAACTTTAAACAGCTTTCGCATGAGAAGCAGCAGAATTGGTAGGATTTTTTTAGCTGGGAAATATGGCTGTGTGGGTCTAAACATTGTTACTAGGGCATGAAGGGAGAAGATGGAAAATGACAGTTTAGTTTTCTGATGCAATGATGAAGGGTGTCAAATGAAGTGACAAGGTGCCAGCTGTGAAACAAGTGAAAAGAAGTGCTGCTTTACAGGTTCAACAAAACACGCAGGAAAACTTGCAGAAGAAAATTCTATTAAGCACGAAAACCCAAAGACATTACTGTTTGAGATCTTTGGACCCACAGCCTGTAAGAAACCTAGAGAATATTTGGGAGAGGAGTGCTGTTTTAAGTTCTGCCTGTTCCTCTGGCATTCCCTGGTCACCTGGCTGAATATTTTTGTATTTGAGATGAGGCAGGACTTAAGCTGGTGACCCAGTTGTGCATGAGGATGCCAGAGTTACTGGGCTAGGTGGAACACTTGTCTGGTCCATTGTGGCTGCTCTTACTGTCATGTCATTGTTTAGACTTATACTGATTATAAATATGCTTAAAACAGCTGTCTAATTTTCTTCTGTCTAATCTTCTTGATTTAAACTGTTTAGTACAAAAAAAAATACTGTTGACTGCTCTCTAGAATATTAACTTTTGCAGTTTTGCATATTTTTGATGTTTTAAGCTATTGTAATTCCAGTTTTGTTTTTATATTGAATGTCAACAGTAAACCTTTCAAGGAGAAGGAATTCCCTTCTCATTGAAACTTTACAGTAGCTTTCTAACATCCGAATAGTAATTCTCATCAAACTATATAGGACACCGATTCATTTGCTAGTTTTGTTGGTGCTTTGCGATTAATTTGTATGTTTCTGGTGCTGATAATGTACCTAAGCTATCTTGAGTGAGGTGAAACTTGGCTCTTTCAATTGACTCTATCCCATTTAACTCCCTGATCTGTCCTTGTGTTTGCATCATAGTTATACATATATTTAATAAGAGAAAGTACATTTAGGTGTATTTTAGTCCTTTACTTGGATTGAAGTGTTTGATAGCTAGTCTGACATAAAAGCATATTCACACATATATATTGCAGAATTGTATGAGAAAAAAAAGATTGTTGATTCAAGTAATTTTTAGTTTCATGTGTGAAGAAAGGTTGCAAGATCTTTTGTTTTTTCCTTCCTTGTTATTTTCCTCTCTGATTCTAACAGAGAGGAAGTCTTATTTTACATTAGACACCTAACATATAGAAATTCTTCCTATGTGGAAACCTCTACAGTTATGCTTAGTGGCAAAGCATGATGTGGTGTTGGAGGTATAGACACTGAGTTAGCATATTGCTCAATCTGTTTTTTCCTCTGCCTGACCCCCCCCCTCTTTTTGTTATGTTTTTTGTTGTGTGTGGTGTGTTTTTTTTTTTTTATTTTATTCTAAGTAACTGACTGCTGAGTACCATGGTAACTGTTGACTACTACTCTCCCTGCCAAGGTAATGTAGTTAGAAATGACTTACTACCTTTTTAGCTTCCTCAGGATTTTAGAAAACTGTCAGTGACTTCAGTTTTGTGTAAGTAATCGTGTATTGGATGTTATTGATACATTCTTTAATGCTTCTGGTGACTTTATGAAGAGTCTCTGAGCTGGAAATTTTGTATCTTCCTTTCTTCATTTACATTAGTTGATTTCACAGAAGATTTTTTTTTTTATATAAACTTGCCTTTTTCAAATTTGGTAGACGCTTACAGTAGCAGAGGCACTGCTACTAAAGGTATATAAAGTCTCAAAACATGACCAGGTTTTTAGCTACCTAAAGTTTGTGAGTTAGCTAAGTGAGTTCTAGCTGTGAATCATATTAATATTTAAAATATATGGTTTCTTACTTTAACCTAATTCTGATTATCTTTTCTCTTGCTTCCCTTTCTTTAGAGACTCTACAGCGGTGGGTAATTCACTGGTCCATAAGCGGTCTCCTTTACGTCGAAGCCATAAGACCTCAGCATCTCTGACTAAGCTGTCGTTATGTGATGGACAGAAAGCCAAAAAGCCACTGTGTAAATTTGAAGAAGGTCAGGATGTCCTAGCTAGATGGTCAGATGGCTTGTTTTATCTTGGAACTATCAAAAAGGTAAACAATTTTTTTTAACTTCACTGGAGTATTACAGTATTGTATGTTGGTTAAATATTACAGTATTATTGTCTCACTTACTTAGTATTGAACACATTGTTTTGTTCAGTCCTTTTACTCATGGCTTCCACTGTATTTTTGTTTTTCAGATAAACAAATTGAAACAGAACTGCTTCATTATATTTGAGGACAGTTCCAAATCCTGGGTTCTCTGGAAGGACATACAAACAGGCAAGAACTTCAGTGAAGTAGTCATTGTTTGGTATTTTATTTGTTTAGATTACTATATCTGTTAAATTATATCACTCTTTATGATACAAGAATAAGATTTATTTTAATGTGACCCAGGATCATGAATTAGGCAAATAGAACAAAAAAAAAATATTTTCAAACAACTCTTTATAATTGCAGTAACTTTTTTTTGTTTGCTTGGTTTTGTTTTAACATAACTATGTACAGGGAGGGGAGAACAACTCTAAAAGTATAATCACATTTGAGTTTATTTGGATGGGGATAGAGTATAAGACTCTGTCTTAACAGAAAACTCCAGGCCCTAATTTACACCAAGTTTATGTCCTCCTATTGTTTTCAGTTGAAACAACATGACGTGGAAAGAAACCAAAGACTGGAAAATCCTAGGTTTGAATGGAGTTTTCACATTTAAAAGTAACACCATAACTCTTGCTCATAAGAAACCATTATAGATTTTGGAGTATTCATGTGATATAAAGAAATGTACAGTTATCAAGTGAGACATCTATTGTATATTAGCTTTGGTTGTTTTTAAGATGTTTAGGGAATAGCTAGTATTTTGACAATCTAATGCTAATAAAGCATGGCTGACAACTTCAGTGACAAATTTCTTGTGAAAATCAGTTGCAATTTCCTCATAATATGAAGGCAGTGGAAATCTGATCTGGCTCTTGGTGATTCTGGATGTTTAAATTAAACACTTCAGATGCTAATAGGAGAAACTTTGTATTCACGATAGCAAAAAATCAACTGCTTTATTTCTGAGAAGCTTTTAAAATGCTGCTTTTCTGTAGTGCTGGTTTATGATCTTTGATTCATTTATTGTAAATATCAAGTTTGAGTGAGTGTGATAACATGTAGATAAAGTAATGTGTGTTAATCCAGACTTTTAGATTGATACGTGGTATAATTGGAGCAAAATATACTTGTGTTTCCAGTTTGCAAGCTAACTTTTTTTTTTTCTTCCCTCTACTGTTACTGTGTGCTTTTGTATGCTTGCAGATACGTATAAGAAGTAATAACATATTTCTGAAGAGTGTCGGAGTTTAATACTAAAGCACCTTGGGCAGATCTGTCAAAAAGATATGCACCAAATTTTGCATATATTTACATGAAAAGAAGCACAAACTATTGTAAATACAAAACATATAAGTTGTCCAAATACAATCTGTTTATACATATTTTTTAGCCTGTGTTTACATTCTTTATTCAGTTATTTAATTTTTATTGTTGGTATTAAGGAACGGTGGACTGCATGGTAAATAGACAATATATAGCCTATAAATATCCAATAGTCTATGATGAGTGATATAAATATTTTTAACACAGTCTGTACAAAATGTCTGAATGTATTTTTGTTAGGAAGTTAGGCCCTGTAACAATGTTTCTACAATGCATGGATCTGTAACTGAAATTGCAAAGAAAGCCATACGTGTGGTAACCATTCCAACTGCAGGTGCAATCTGGGGGGAAAAAAAAATAAATCACACTTTCATCTTTGCCTAGGAGCCACTGAAAGTGGGGAAATGGTCTGTACAATATGTCAGGAAGAGTATTCAGAAGCACCGAATGAAATGGTTATATGTGATAAATGTGGGCAAGGTAACTAGATTTTTTTCTACTTACTGCATTTTAAAAGATATTTTAGTTTGTTCTATGCTGTTACTGCTCAACTGATCTTAAATTTTATAGCCTTTAGTGGCTATTAACAGCTTAGTGGATAATAATTGATATTAAAATGACTAACACCTGCTCTGTAGGTAAGGGGTTTTTTTCCACTGAGAAAAATTTAAGAGACCATTTTGAATGTGTTACCAATCTTTTTGATCGGATTTTTGGCACTTAATGATGGATAATGCCTATAGATGCATTAAAATGATATATAGTTAATTCTGTGTAAGCTTCTTTTACCATTTTAACAACACTTTGGTTGATCATTTTTTATACAGGTTATCATCAGCTGTGTCACACACCAAATATTGATTCCAGCGTGATTGATTCGGATGATAAATGGCTCTGTCGACAGTGCGTTTTTGCAACAACAACAAAGGTCTGTTTCTAGAGAAACATTTTTAATACATCCCATATTACGTACATACTTTGTTTTTGAAGTTGAAACAAAAAAATAAAAGAAATAGTGCTTTTTTAAGTGATATCTTTGTTAATTTTGATCTGAATGGAAGTTTTATATGCTGGGAATTAATATTTATTTTAGAATTAGATTACACTTGGCTTCCAATTTATTGTTTAACAAATACGCAATATTATAAATACAGATGACAGTATTTTACTTGATTATAGACAAATTTTTGTAACTTTGAAATTAAAGGATTTGGAAGTTTCAGAAATATAATACTGGTTTTGTAAACTAATGTATTTGTTTTTCCTCAGAGGGGTGGTGCGCTTAAGAAAGGACCAAATGCCAAAGCACTGCAAGTCATGAAACAAACATTACCGTATAATGCAACAGACCTTGAGTGGGATGCAGGTCATAAAACCAATGTCCAGCAGTGTTACTGCTATTGTGGAGGACCTGGAGAGTAAGTAAACAGATAATATCGAAGAACTCTTCTCTGTAGTGCAGCTGCAGGCTTTGGCCCTTTTCCTGTAGACTTTTACTTGTGAACTGTGAGTTTCTGTTTGTTGTGTGTAGGTATTGAACTTGATGCAATGTGGAAATTTTTTTTTTGTTTCATGGGAAACATGTTATTAATGGCTTTCCTTCTCCCATCAGGTCTTTTGGTTTGTTTTGTCATGTGACCATCACATAATATTGAAGTCCATTCTAGAACAAGCAAGAATTTTATTTTCTTTTGCATCCCTGCTGTTAATGTGTTGAGACTGGATGGAGTTGGTTGTTGATCTTCTTGTAATTCTAGGCAGTGAGTTTCTGATGTTAACTTAGCTCTGTCATTAGTCATGAATATAAAAGTATCTAGAGATTAGTTTATTAAATTGTCTGATTCTACCATAACATCATACCCTGGATTGCAATTATTGGGGGGGAAATACTAGGTTTTTTTTCCTCTTACAACATTACAGAGTCCTCTGTTGGTACTTTCTTACAAGAAGAGGACTTCTTAAGTAGGTAGAGATAAATACTCTGGTGTCTGCGTGGATGAGTGAATGAATAAAATAGCATTGAAGATTTGAAGTCAAGGCAAGTCAAGAGTCCCACAGAGAAGCAAAGCTTTTGAGTTTAGACCCACAGGACAGAGCTCTGGTTTGAGTATTTCGCAGAGCTGGCCAAATACCGCCTTCAATTTTGCATGGTTCCTTTTCTCAAGGGAGAAGCTGGAAAAGGAAAAAAGGTGTAAACTGTGAAGTTCATTTTGAGGATACAGGTAGCTGAATCCTCAGAACGAAAGTTTGACACTTAATGTGGCTGTGCTTTGGAAAATATCAAGGAAGCTAATGCAGTATGTGAGAAGGATCTTATATGGAATTACTGAATTCTTATTACCGAGAACTAGAAAGTGGTTGTCAGAGGAAATTATATTTTTATATTCTTAGTTTAATAACTTAATTCATTCTTTTACTAGGCTATCTTTTATTATTCTTAGTCACTGTTTTCTAGAAATGGTTCATTATAGAACTCGGTGTTACTGAAATATCCCTACAGATGACTGTTTTATAAACTGTGAAAATCACTTTGGGTCAGAAGATCCCTTACTATTTAATTTACGCATAATGAAGAACAATTTTCAGTAACTTTTTTAACACATCTTGTTTTTCTTTCTGTTGGTGAAGCTGGTATCTAAAGATGTTGCAGTGCTGCAAATGTAAGCAGTGGTTTCATGAGGCTTGTGTGCAGTGCCTCCAAAAGCCAATGCTTTTTGGTGACAGGTAAGAATCTTAAGCTGTATTTTACGGTTGTCTTTATTTAAAATTGGAGGGAATCTCACATCTGAGCTTTTATCAAGGCATCTGCAATACAACAGTATTTTCCAAAAGCAGAGTGAGTTTTGTGTAGGAGATTATACGAAATAAAGCATGTTTTCAGGTGCCAGGAAAATGCGGTTCTTTATCTCAGTTTAATGAAGGAGGGTGGTGTGGTGGAGAGGTAATCAATGGATACTTAAATTCTGATTGTTACTGACTTTACTTTGTGTGGAAGTTCATTACACTATAGGTACTGGCTACTGGGAATTGGAAAGCTTTAAAGCACTCCGCTTTAGTAGGCCTGTACATTAGATAAGGGCTTTCAAGTTCACTTTGTTTAGGTGACTAATCTCTTGTGTGCAACAGGCACCATGCTTCAAGGTAAGCTGTCAGTGTGTGTGCAGTAGTAGTTCCTCTAGTAACAGTATAGGGAATTGGAGAAAACTGGAAGGATAGTTAGAGTAAGGGGAGCTCTGTACATCCTCTGTTCATGTGTGATGAGTTGGGACGCAAGGAAATGAAAAAGAGCGCTGGTCTGTGCTTTCATTTTTAAGAGGAACTTGGAGCAGTTGGAGCAGATGAGAGAGAAAACTGGATAAGGGAATCAAGGAGTATCTCATTCATCATCTATTATACTTTTAGCTGTTCGTTGTGCTGGAATGTTTCTGTGAAGGAACTGAGTTAGGATCCAGGAATGCATGGGTCCTTAAAATGCCTGCTTACACTGGGGCACAGGTTTCTGCATTTGAGAGAATGGAGTGGGGATATTACAGATCATTCTCACTGATACAGTTATGGGTTGAGGGACTTTATTAGGCAGTAAAAACAGTGGTACTAGGATAAAATTGAGGAAGTACCTTGTATCTGGCCTGATAGGTACCAGCGCAGATTGTGGAAGTGGATAAAGGAAAGTGGAGGATTAAGGGATTCTCAAATATCATATGGTTGGGTTTCTAGCCTGCTTAACTTTCATTTTTTCATAATGAGGGTGTTAAAACACTGAGAGTGTGTGTGTACAGACACCCACCACCCAGACACATGTACATATATGTATGTATATGTTTTTAGGTTTTATACGTTCATTTGCTCAGTTTGCAGTTCTGGACCAGAATACCTCAAACGTTTACCCTTGAGATGGTAAGTATGAATTTAAAAAACATAAAATGGTTAATTGAATACATGTTCCGCTTTTCTTTTTTTTTGGTATTTTGATTCTCCTTGTAAAAAAGGAAATCCACTTGCTGTCCTGAGTTGTTTCCCGAGTTGTTTCTACTGCTTGTATGAAGAGGGACAACTTTTCCTTCAAAGCTTATTCTTAAATGTAGAGATATATTGCAATTGTTTGCTCTTGGGTTTTATTTCTGGGATTGTTCAATAAAGTATCAAGCAACTACTCATTTGTTGTATAGGGGAAGATTGGGCTATCTGAACGAAGTCTTTTTTTGCAGGTTTAGGATCCTGCCATTGGATAAGCCAAATGTAATGAGTACTAGAGTACATATCTTGACACATTTTATAATAGTTTCCTCGATGAGACTTAATGGTTAGTTGTAGTTTGAAATCTTTAAACTAACCCATATTAGAAATTATGTCAAATTTAGTGGATATATATGTCCTAACAAATATATGGTGGAAGTTACCTTTTTAAATGTTAATTTACCAAAATACTTGTGTGAATTCAGAATTGATACACTGAATGTATCCCATGGCTTAGACCAGTTTTGGAGTTTAAAAGAACATCATGACAATGAGATGGAGGTAAAAGTAAGATTCAAAGCCGAAGGAATCACTTAAGGAAGGGAAATGGCAGGAGACTTCATAATGTTATTCCCTGGATTGAATGTTTTGAGTTGTGCTTTGTGTTCCTCTGTGTTGTGCTAATATCTCTTCTACTAAATTATTTCAAAGAAAAACAATTGGAAGAGAGGCTTTTTTTTTCCCCTCTGTTTTATTAAAATATTTCTGAATTCTAGGGTAGACATAGCACATCTATGCCTTTACAACCTAAGTGTTATTCATAAGAAGAAATACTTCGATTCAGAGCTTGAACTCATGGCCTACATTAATGAAAACTGGGATAGATTGCATCCTGGTGAGGTAAGTAACCACAATACTCTTTGTTTTTCCTCGCAGTGCATATATATGTCCTGAAAGTTAGTGACCTATGAACTGTTTTTATTCTGGATGTTAAATCCTTTATTACCTGAAAATCTGGTAATCCCAAATGATAAGGAGACTATCTTTAATTTCCTTGCAGAAATAGAATGCTTTTGAAATGCTGTATGTTTTTCTGAGCTGTAAAATTTCTGGAGCGGTCCATGTAACTATTATGTTATTATTTGCATGGCAACTTTGTTTATACTCGACTGTTCTATTGCATATATGTATTTTCCTTTTCTTTCATTTTATAATTCTCATAGTTCTTTGATATTTTCATGTGCACAGACCAGAAAATCTAAATGTAGACCTGAATGCAGAGTATATTGCATATGAAGACATCTTCAAAGTCTCTAAGGTGTAACATATAACTAATTATTGTACACAAACATTGCCTCTTCACTCTATCTTCCAAACACAAGGGTCATCTGTTCATGTCCAAGTCTAAAGATTGTTTTGATCCTTTTCCAGTCTGATTCTGCTAGTTGTCAAGGTGTCTTGGTTTTAGTTCACTATTCTACTAGTTATTTTTCCAGCTATTTAATTTACTGGGCTGTTATCTTAGCATTAAAGGAAATCCGTTTCCCCAAGCAGACTGATTTCATATTTAACTAAGAGGGGCAGTGTAGATACATGTTTCTGCATGTAAGGTTGGATGCAAAATTTATGTCTAAATTAAAATTGGTATGCTGCTAGTAGAGTATGCACTTTTTGTTGTGCATGAAAATAGTTTAGGGTTTTGAAGTTTTTTAATACAGGTGGCATATAACTGGCTTGAAAGTTTCTTACCATAAGTACATGCTACTCTGATACTTCTTTTCAGTAAATTCATACATCTGTAATACGCTTTTACCAGCAGACATAATTTAAGAATCAAATGTATGTTCTTGGTTTAAATGAGTAACTACATTTCATAATTGAAAATAGTTTAAAATATGTGTGTTTAGACTATGAGTTTGTTAGAAAGACAAGCAAACACTCTAGCATTACTAAAAAATTACAATTGGTGACATCATAAATAGACATCTGGTTTACTTCGGGATGTATAGCATCTCTTAGCGAAATCCTATCAAGTCAATAATTGTCATATCAAGTCTCAAGCTCTAATTAAAGGGCTGCACAAAATGTGGTAAATTGTGGAAAATTGTCTTGAAAAATTTGAGGCAAATATATTTTACTGCTTTGGTTAATCTGGTTTCTTTATTAAACAGAAATCAGTCACAGAAAGAATAACATCTACAATATAATGGTTTTAGGGGTTTTGTAATATTCTTAGCTTGCCACTGCTAGAAATTACACTTTGGTTTCTTTGTGTAGCTGCTTGTAATTAAATAAGAGGAAAAGTTTTTTTTAGCCACAGGTGAGATAGGAGTAAATGGTGGAATTATCAGACCTCATAAGCCAGTAATTTTTAGCATGTTGTTATACCTCTGGATAGCAATGGGTTGTACTGAATGCATATGGTAAAGATGTGTAAAAACATTTGTTACTTTCTTTGGCTAAAATTGGTTGAATACCTCTCTTAACTTTAGCAGTCAGGTAGATTGACTGTGAATCTTGCCCAAAATTGTGTTAAAAGCTTAGTTTTTATGAGTATATCTACTCATTTATTCAGCTGTTAGCTAAAGGTGGCATTTTTTGAGCTGTAAATGCTGTACAGTCTGCTCTGTAGTATCCATACTAACAGTGACACTTAAACTGTTTGTCAATTCTATAATTAAAAGTAAATATAAATTTACCGCAGAACCAGTTGTATAGAAGTGCTGGGATATTTTGGCATGGCAACTGGAAATATGGTAGCTTCACTGGAATTTAAAAACAGCTGCCTAATTATAAAAATAACTAATCTTATTTTAAATTCTGTTACATAGATGTTGTGTTCACTTCTTTGTAGTCACCACCATACTTATTCAGTTTTATGTCTCTGTAATTCTTAAGTATGCAGTTTTTCAGAGATAAGATTCCATGCTTTGGTAGCTTGATAGGGAAAAGCTACTTCAGGCTTTGGTGCAAGAAGGGAGGTTAGACAGGGTCTTGCTAAAAGGGGCATGAAAATGGATTTACTGTTTTGTAAACTCTAATAACACTTATGAGTCTCTTGGCAAAAATGGGAATTGGGTCCTGTGGCAGGATTTTAGTTAAAATTATCACCAACAAAATAACTAAGTTCTTGTGTTAATATAGCTGTCTTCTTGCAATCTCAATTAATTTGGGAGTCAGTAATGCCACAGAAGAATTCTTGTTAGCAGTCTTGGGAGGGCAAGCTTGTATTATGTCATTTGAGTATACTAAAACTTTGAGATATTTTTCTGGCACTTCTTAAAGTGAAACTTAAATTCTTTGGCCTGGGCTTGATCCTGGCATGAAATCTGTGGTTATAAAAATCACAGAATACATGGGATAATGATTAATATTCTTTGGGGTTAGGTAGTTTCCACAGCTAATACTTCATAAGTGTACTTCACGTCCAAATCTGTAGTTACAGTAACTCAAAGTAACTGGAATCTTTCTATTACTAAAGAATTCGACAGGTTAAACGATTTCTTAATACTTCACAGCTGGCAGATACACCAAAATCTGAAAGATATGAGCATGTACTGGAGGCATTAAATGATTACAAGACCATGTAAGTTATTGGTACTTTTTGTTTTAAATGTTATTTGGCTGTATAATATCATCTAGGTTAGTCTTCAATCTCCTTTGCTCAGTCTATCTGATAATCACTTTGGCTGCAGATAATGTTTAAATTTTAAATACTGTTTCTATTTCAAACTATAACATTACATAACTACTTGAGTGGAACCTAGATCATAAGAAAAAAACCGTTTCAACTTCCATCCTCTTTCCACTTCACATTCTGTATTTGAGTGTGAGGATTGTGTTAGGAGAAAGAGGGGAATAAAATAGTATTAGAATGAATATTCTAATTTGCATAGTTTTTGTTTTGCATGTACACTGTTATTTTAAAAGTTGCTTTCCCTAAGGTCAGAATTTTAACAATTAATTTAAAATCATCTAGGTTTATGTCTGGAAAAGAAATAAAGAAAAAGAAGCATTTGTTTGGCTTGAGAATTCGTGTTCCTCCTGTGCCACCAAATGCTGCTTTAAAGGCTGAAAAAGAACCAGAAGGAACTTCTCATGAGTTCAAAATTAAAGGCAGAAAATCATCTAAACCAATCCCTGACGTGAGGTAAAATAACCCAGTCATTCTAGCAGTGTTGTGGTATATCGGGGTACTTTGGGTATTTTTTTGGTGTCTACAAAAAAAGCCTATTCCTTGTATAATGTATTTTTTTTAAAGTAACTGTAAAGGTGTATGTCCTGCCTAAACAGTGACAGAGGACTATTTGTGAGAACAAGGTGTTTGAACGAATTTAATTAGCTTTCTATTAGGATCCTTTAAAAAAAAAAAAAACAACCCCAAAAAACCCCTAACATTAAATTTAGCAATAAGAACAATAGAGAATCTCCCAACTTTGCTGATATTTGGGAAACAAAATCTCTTGCCTTTGTGGAGCTCTCATGCAATAATCTAACTAGAATTCTAACTAGGAAGTATGATGTGACATTGTAACTAGTATTAGTAAATGTGCCATCTTTTTTACCAAGTGTGGTCATACGAATAAACAACATTTAACACTTGTTTGTTCCCCTTCAACATTAATGAGTCAGTAATGTCACTAAAAAGATACTGTATCTGTTTACCTTATTCTAGAGGCAAAAATATTTAGCTTTGTACCTGACAATTTTGATTTGCCAGAATAACATCATTTAGCGCAATGTCTTAGCAATAGACATATAATTGTGTGTTCATTGCCAAAGAAAAAATATCTTAGCTAAAATTTATCTTCAATAATACAGGACAAAATATAAATTTTCTTCTAGGGAATTAAGTAATGGTATAGAAAGAAAGGGGAAAAAAAAATCAGTAGGTCGTCCACCTGGTCCCTATACAAGAAAAATGATTCACAAAACTCCAGATACATCTCCTCTGGTAAGGTTTTGGATATTTTATTCTCCTTCATGCTCCCTCCCTGAACTGGATTATCATTTTTGAATCATGATATTCCACCCTTCACCGTCAAATCAAATTGATACAGCAATTAAAACTTAATTTGAAGTACTCTTTTTTTTTTTTTTTTTTTTTTTCTTCTTTTCCTTTCCTCCTTAGGATAACGAACCAGTTCCAGTTATAGAGAACCCAGCCTTGGAATTACCCTGCACTGTTGGGTAAATTAAAAAAAAAAAAAAAAAACCCACTGTAGAAAAAAAGTTATAATACTATGTTATTTATCTGTTTGCTCGGTTTTAACATAAGATTATTTTCATTACATGGCAACCCTGTTATCTTGCATATCAGGAAATCTGATGGAACTGCGCATTCATCCAATACCTCAGATGTGGAATCCACAGGTGCTGCCAGTATGAAAGAAACTACCTCATCTAGCATTTCCAGACATTATAGGTAATTATTCAATTGCTCTATCTATTATGAACATTAAGATTTGCAATATATTAATTTTAATAAGATTTTTCTGAAAGAGAGGACAGGAAACAATTGGTTCAGCAATACCTCACCCTTAATAAGCAGAAGTTGCAGGTATCCTACAAGAGATACCTTGCCAAAGCATGGCATGTAATATTCTAAGTCTGATTTCTTAAAACCTGAGGTTCTGTTGTACTTGCAGTCAGTTCTGAATCCTTTGGGTAACTCTCATGAAATCTGGGAATCCAGGTGGTCCCAAAGAAATCATCATAGAATGGTTTAGGTTGGAAGGGACCTTAAAGATCACCTAGTTCCAACCCCTCTGCCGTGGGCGGGGGCACCATTATGGTCTAACAAGATAGATGCTTGGATGAGAGAGACACAAACCAGACACTCACACTTACAAAAAGTCAGACAATTTTCTGTGGCCTGGTCATTGCCAGTGCTGTTTTGTTGGGGTTTTTTGTGTGTGGAGGGTTTGTTTGTTTGGTTGGTTTTTTGTGGGGGTGTGGTGGTTTTTTGTTTGTTTTTTTTTTTTTTTAATTGAAGCTTTGGCAAAACAAAGGTAGAAGATAAGGTAGTAGCAGGTAGACTTAAGTTATGAGGCAGCCACAGTAGATGTGAAATGGAGGTAAGGGTATTGCAGAACTGGTGGGAGAATAAATACAGAAGAACTCAGGATATTGCAAAGGGGCATAACATTGAGGGTATGGTGATTCACTGGGATTTGGAGTAGTGAGCAACTGAGACTCAAGAGTAGAGCAGTAAATTGCAGGGGGAAATCTAAAGAAATGGGACAAAAGAAAACTATTCTTTTAGTTCTGCTTACAGCACACATGATGAGGGGTTTTTTGTGCTAACTAGTGTACTTTGTTGATGTAAAATAATGTAGTTAAATTAAATTTACTGAGAAAAATTAAACCCCATAAACCTTCCTAAGCTTAATTTTCTAATAAAGGCCACAAAAGAGCTTATGTGTACCCTGACTTGATTTTAGCAGCTTTTGTTTTTCTAGGTTTGTGTATTCATGTTAAAGAACAGTAAGTATGCTGTGATTTTCTATAGTCAATAGAGCATGAAAAATTTTTGGCATAGTCTTCATAAATAAATTATTAACTACAATCTACTTTTCTGCAAGTAAATTGTTACTTGAACTTTTCTCTCTCTCAAGTTCAGCAAATGTAAATTTCTCTTTTATTGAGGTACATGGATCACACAGAATCACAGAATTTTCAGAGTTGGAAGGGACCTCTAGAGATCATCTAGTCCAACTCCCCTGCTAAAGCAGGATTGCCCAGAGCACATTACTCAGGACTGCATCCAGGCGGGCTTTGAAAATCTCCAGAGAAGGAGACTCCACAACCTCCCTGGGCAGCCTGTGCCAGTGCTCTGTCACCCAAACTGTAAAGAAGTTTTTCCGTGTGTTGTAACGGAACTTCCTATGTTCCAACTTGTGCCCGTGAAGTCTCAGTCTATTTTGTCTCCTCTCTTCCTGGTTCATGCTATCAAGTGCTTTCATCAGTCTTTTTTGTGTGCATTACTGCTACAAATAGTCTGTATTCAAAAACTCATGTTTAACTTAGAATTCTGAACCTGTTACCTAAGGGCTTAAGTCACTGTTTTGTATTTCTGCCCTCTATTCCATTCTTTTTTTTAATGTTAAAAAGATGTGATTTTTTTTTTTCCTCAGTATGTTACAGAGGAGTCTTGGACATCAAAGTTCACATGCCATTTAATTTAAGACTATATCAAACGTGGTTTAGTATGTACAAATTATAGATGTAGGTTTTTACATAAGGATTTATATTTTGGACACTTTAATATTTGGATGATGGTTTATCCTTGGGTAATGTCAGAAGCTTCTTTTTTTATTACCAGGGATATATCTGTGTAGGTTTTGGATATACATATTTTTATGGCTACATGTAATAAATCTTCAGAAAGTCACGTGTACTATAGAAAGTAGTAATGTAAAATAAATTTTGCTGTATCTTTCATATTTCAAAATTTTAATTTATTGAGATAAATTCAGCTTGAAAAAATAACTGGATAAATTCATTTTTTATTTACAATCTTAATGAACATCAAGTCTGAAACTATTATAGTACACTTTTTGTACTTGAGGCCCACCTGTGTGATAAAACTGGGTTTTTTAATTTGTAAATTTAAGCACATCTGGTGCAGACTTCTCTGAAGAGTTTTTTTAAATTTGCTTAAGAATGCTTCTGATACTTTGTTAAATTAGTGCAATTTTCCTTATGTAAATAATCTTTATTTTGCAAGTGTTGTATTTATAGTCATCTGTCTATAGGCAACAAGTATTTTTCAGTGAAAAACAGAACAAAGAAATTACAATATGAGTTCCATGAGAATAACTTATTATAAAGTATATATTTTGAATAAGTTCCTTGGATTTAATGCTGGATTGTTGTTGGTTCTTTTTAATAGTTTATCTGACACGAGAAAAAGGACTCGTACAGGAAGAACTTGGCCTGCTGCAATACCACATTTGAGAAGAAGAGGTCGCTTTCCACGAAAAGCACTCCAGACTCAAAATTCAGAAATTGTGAAAGATGATGAGAGCAAGGAAGATTACCAGTATGATGAACTCAATACAGAGATACTTAACAACTTAGCAGATCAGGAGTTACAGCTCAATCATCTAAAGAACTCGATTACTAGTTATTTTGGTGCAGCAGGTAGAATAGCTTGTGGGGAAAAATACCGTGTTTTGGCTCGTCGGGTGACACTTGATGGAAAGGTGCAGTATCTTGTGGAGTGGGAAGGAGCAACTGCATCCTGACTGTAGGACTGAACATTATGTTCACTGCACTGTCATCTGTAAGTACAGTTCATAATGCAGAGCCACGAGAGAAACGTGTCTTTTAATGTGTTTCTAAAAACAAAACAAAACCAGTTTAGCCTTAACATGTAATTGTTATCATTACAGCTCTTGTGATAAAGACTTATCTTTTTAAAATCTGATCTGAAACTTAAATTTTTTAATCTGAACATTATTAGATTGTTTTAGGTTGGGATATTTTGGGTTACAATTGCTTAAAAATGTGCATGGTGTTTAAAAGAAAAAAAAAAAAGACCTTTTCTAGAGAACATTCCATGGATACAGTTATTGTGATTTAGAGAAAATATTATGTAGATAGCACAAATCTTTGAAAAATTTTGGTTTGTTTTCTTACCCAAATGTTTGCAGAAATGTATTTCTATTTCAATACTTTCTAGATTTCATAAGTGCAGTGTATATAATGCCTACTGAAGACTGTAAAATACTGAAGTTTTCTTTCAAACAAAGTGTAAAAAAAAAAAAAAGAAAAAAAAAAGAAAAAATATATTGAGCCTGTAAATTGCTCTGTGACCAGACTTCATTGTCTTCTTAATATATTCTTCGTGTGTGTGCGTGTGCGCGTGTGTGTATATACATATGTATAGATGCACACACATACTTGTGCATGTATATATATGTGTGATTGTGACCTATGCAATACAAATTATGGGATTGGGCAGCTTCCGAGAATACATCCCATAATTCTTTTTTCAGGAATAGTTGCCAGTATTTACACAGCAGCATTTCTTCTCAGGCTTATTGGGTGCTGTTGCTTTGTGTACTAAGGAAAAGTGTCAAACCAGTGCAGTGTGTTCTGGCAATGGGTGCAGTCATTGATGTTCATATGCTCTAGGTAATATATTCCATTATTTTCCATGAGAATTAACTGTTAAAAAATAATGCAGGATTTGAACGTTTTGAAATTAACTCTACTAGAAATAACAATTTGAAAGGTGTTGTGGCCTATTGATTGTAAATTTTGTGTCCCAGTTATAAACTAAGTTGACAGGAGTCACACACAAGATTTCTATATGTCAGTAGAAACAGTCATATTTTGATAATGTAGTATGAACAAAGTATATTATTGCACAGGGTCAACAAACAGTTTGTTGCCGTTTGAAGTAACGTTACTGATTTTTATTACAACATTACCTCTTTTGTTTCTAAAAAATGTACCAAGTTTTAAATTGATAAGTTTATTTTACTTGTTTAAAAAAAAAAAGTTGAAAAAGTCTCTTGCCAGTATTAGATGTTTTTTCTTTGTCTGCTACTTTTGAGGGGGTTTTAGCCAAAGAGTAAACAGAAGAATATTTTTACTTTGGTGGTTATTCACTGTATTGCATAAGGTTAGTTTTCCTATGTGCTTACAGTTTATCACCAAAATAAAATTATGTAACATTTACAAATGACAAAGTGGTTTAAAGTATACTGCCTGGGTTAGTACTTATTTATTCCATTACTTGATTATTTGACTTTTTCTGCTCATCTTGAACATCTTGAAAAGGTGATTTCTCTTCTTTTTTTTTTTTTTTTTCCTTTTTTATTTTCCTATCACCTTGTAGCCAAAGGAAGCAGAGAAAGCTTTTTATCCTGTGCTTGGTTTATGGCTGGCCGGGTAATACTAGCTTTATGAAAATGCTGATTAAAAACTGCCACTTCTGTTTACCTTCACTAAAATGTGTGGTTTTTTTCTCACACCCTCAGCTATTAATTTAATGTTGCCTTGCCTGTAGCTGCAATATTTTGATAACACAGCAACTTCATGTTAATTTTTGAATGTTTATATCTTGGGATAATGCAAAATGTAAAGCCTTTGTAACCTTACTCACACCATCTGTATCTGTCTTTTATTGTTTCACTTTATCCAAGTCCTTTAATTCTAACTGAACACCAGCAGTATTTTTCATAAAGTTTCATTTAAAGATAAATATTGGAATGTACTTGGGGACTTTAGTGGGGGAAGGGGGAGAAGATATTTGTCAAACTTAAGCTGTCCATAGACTTAACTATTGTGAATGTCATTGTTTCATTTTATTATGGTGGTTGACTTGACTCTGATGTTCAGTTTGTATTTTTGGAATTGCTTTTTTTTTCCTTAGAATTAAAAGACCAACATTAAATGTGTGTATTTTTTGAGAGAGAAGAATGAGTTTTGATTCTGTATTCTTGTGAAGCACCTACTTGGTGGCATCCTCCCATCCATTGTTTCTCTATCTCTAGCTTTCCTGTTACTGTCCTGGAGACACTTGCCCTGCACATAGGCACTAACTAGTGTTCCAGCTATGCTTGAGGGATGCTTTGTTACCCGGTGTCATGTACTGGAAAATGCTGCAATGTTGCTGCTGAAGATACAGCTAGAGTAGTAAATAAAGCACACCTACAAATGCCTTTCTCTCATTTTTATGTGAATTTCATTGTATGCAGTAATGGAGTGTCTAAAGGCAAAATACAAATGTTGCTGTACATAACAATTTCATTTTGGTATGACTTGATCATTGTATGTATGCATGTGTGTAAATATATGTAATTCAACTTTGTTGTGGTCACTGATTTTAGAACCATTTCTATATGTATCAGATTTAATATTTTTCCGTACATACTATTTGTATTACAATAGTATTTAGTTAGGTAAAGTATCTCTCGAGGCCATTCTAAAAATGTAGGCATCACATGAACAAGACAGCAAAGAAAGAATGGCACATTCCTGGTCACAATTGTAAAATAATCATCATAGCAAACTACTTGTCAAATCATTGTCTCAAAAAAAAAAAAGTCAAGAGAAATTTTGAATAAAAACTATGCTTTTCTATGCATAACAGGTATTTTGAGTGAGATTACAAAGGAATTTTGAAAAAAAATCTGATTGTTATGTGAAATGAACACTTGATTTAACGTAGAGAAATAAACCAAAAAAGTCCTTGAAGGTGAAGACAAGCAGTTTGTCTAGGGGTTGGGGGGAAGATAAGTGGATAAAGAGAAAAATGGTCATGTCTTCGGAACACCCTACTAAAGTGATCTTTAGTTTTGTATTTTAAAGGGAAATTGGTGAACTGAAATGGAACATGCCAAGGCTGGAGACGGAGCAAGAGTCAGGACAAAGTGATAAGGATGAACTGGATGGGAGCATCAGTTCTGTGCAGAGGGAAGAGAATGAAGCTTGCAAATGCTACGCAGGTAACATTTTCAGGCTTTAAATTGTGTCACTTCTCTAGTTCCTTCACGTCTGCCTGAATGAAAAGTAACACTGAAATTAAGGGTTTGATATTTTCTAGAAATGGAGAAAAGGGGTTAGGATGGTGAGTTGAGTTTGGTCGACGCTGAACTTAAGCTGATGGCTAAAACCACCATGTGGACTGTCAGATCTATTGAGATCCGTAGTATGGTCAGAAAAACAGTAATGCGTGAGGAAAAAAATTGGAATTCAACCTAAAGTTTGTAGAAAAGTTGATTTATTTTTTTTGTAAATTGAATCATCTGTAGATGAAGTATAAAGAAGAGAAAGATGGGGGGAAAAGAGACTCCTTGGAGTCCCTGAAAAAGGTTGAAAGGGGAATGACCATCTTCTAGAAAAGATAGTGCAGGACAATAGAAAGAAAAGCAAAAGATAAGTACAAGTAGAAGCTGTGGATGATCTGAGAATGAGTTTGTAATTCGGTGCTTTTGGTAGTCTCTTATTCCTATTGTTCAGCAACAATGAAATGGAAGATTTTGTATTGTCGTGATGTTTTTTGTCTGTTTTGCATTGCTAAATCCCTTAATGTTCCTCTCAGCTAGCTCATCTCTGCTATTATTTTAATCAGACTTTTTCATATTCCAGCATTGAGATCTATAACATCAACAGTTGTTCTGGTTTTCATTCATATCAAAATATTTTGCCTTGCAGATATTAGACAGCTGTAGCTCATACAGTTCTTTTCATATCATCTTTCTCCTAATCTGTTCTGATATTATTTCACTAGCGTATATTTCTTTTTCACTTGTTCTAATTTATGTTTCCAGCTTCTGAATTTGACAGTGTTCTGTTCTCTTCCCATTATTAGCTGTTTTGTGTTTGGCATTAACTGACTCCCCTGTGGTTCCTAGTCATCTGTTTACTTAATATCCAGTGTGGTAGCATTAACTTGCACTCTTGACATCTGCAAATGATAAGCTCATTTGCTTCAAAACCTTCTTTATAGTAAGAAGCTAATTAATAGTTCTGTCTTGCTCTAAATGAAGTTTGTTCTTCTGTAAGTGCTATTTCAAAGTAATTTATTTGTGCTCTGCCATTTACTAATGAATACTTACAAAACTGTTGCTGTTACTGTGTTCACTTGTGTCATCATCCATTGTGACCATTACTGCCTTGCTACGTACATGTTTCTGTCATTCATGAACATTACTAAGGTTGCCTCTGTTTTTTTCACCTGCTTGCTCTAACTTGGTATTCATAACTTCACAAATTGGTTGCATGATAGCAGAGATTGGAAAGCGGGAAGATAATTTTAGAGACTATCAACAATGCTTGGAAATTCAGGGAAAGGGAAATAATGAATGAACAATTAGGAAGGTTTTCAGGCTTTAGGATGTTAAACTATATTTGTAGTGGTAGCAGGAGGAAAAGGTGAGACTGAAAAGGGGAAGAATATAAGATAGAACTAAGAATTGATCAAGATAACGATGCAGAGTTCCTTGGTTAGGGAAAGTGATGGTTTTTGTAAAAAAAAAAAAAAAAAAAAAGTACACAAGAGGACACTGAGGGTACTCAGAACTGTCCTTTCTGACAAACTGACTAGGGAGTCTAACTGGCTTGTTGCAGAAAAGTATGTGTATATAGAAATATATGTAATATGTGTACTTACATGTAGAAGTACACAAGTCCAAGTAATACAATGAGAAACAACTTGAAGGTATTTAATTACAATGGGGGTTTATTATTTTTAAGGAAGTCTTTAAGTGGGCTGTGAAATACTTTTTAAAAAGACAGCCTTTGGATTGTGGAAAAAAAAAAAATTGCTGATTCAAGCCTTGCCGCCTTTCCTCCCATGCTTTTTCTTCACTGCTTGTGGCAATGAGCTGAGGTATTGTAGGTGCTCACCTGCCTCACAGTCATTCAGAGGTAAGTGCTGAAGCCTTAAAATGGGAACTCCTATTTGTTTGGCCACTTGGTGCCTGAGCCTGCTTCCTTTTTCCCAGTCTTCTGGTGTCATCTTGTGGGAGAGAAGTGACTGGGAAGAATGATTTCAGGAGAGGCAGCGTAA